AATAAAATAACAAAAATTTTTAAATACAGAAAACTTAGGTTACTCTCACACTTGTTAACATAAAGAATTATACTCACACTTGTTACCATAAAGAAGTAGTGACATAGCTTTAGAATTTTTTTAATGTTTAATTTTGAGAGAGAGAGAGACAGAGTACTAGCAAGGAAAGGGCAGAGAGAGAGGGAGACACAGAATCCAAAGAAGGCTCCAGGCTCTGATTGTCAGCACAGAGCCTGGTGCAGGGCTTGAACTCATACCGTGATATCGTGACCTGAGCCAAAGTTGGATGCTTAACCGACTGAGCCCCCAGGTACCCCAAGTGATGTAGCTTTAGAATGTGGGGTTGGCTTAGAAAGTAAGAACCCTTAATATTTTCCATGTTATCAAAATATATGTATTCTAAAATTTATTATGTCGCACTGACCAAGGAGGTCTTTTATAATGGGGCAAAGCCAGATTTTAACTTGAAAGTATAATATAACAACAACCCAAACCACATATTTGTATGATATTTTTATGTTACAAAGTGCTTTCAATATATGATTTTTCTTATCATCAGAACATTTCTGTAAGGCAGACAGGTATTATCTTCATTTAATTTTTTAAAGAGTTTATTTTTTTATTTATTTCTTTTGAGAGAGAGAAAGAGAGCACATAGGCAGGGGAGGGGCAGAGACAGAGAAGAGAGAGAATCCAAAGTAGGCTTCATGCTGTCAGCCCAGAGCCCAACCTAGGGCTTGATCTCACAAACTGTGAGATCATGACCTGAGCTGAAATGAAGAGTCCAACGCTTAATCAACTGAGCCACCCAGGTGCCCCACCTTCATTGTAAAGATAGAAAACTTGAACAAATGAAGTTAAGTGACATTATAAAGACTTACAGAAAACTAGCTATAGAACTGAATCTGTCAGCCCATGATGGTTCTCTCCTGACAAGGAGACAGCATGGCGTGTGACATTAAAGCATAGACTCAAATAAATTAAATCTGCAAATGGCACCTCCATAAACAGGATGAGAAGGAAATTACCTCTGTGTGGCACAGAAGAGGAAGGCAAGAATGAACATAGCAGGAAAGTATATTTTTGAAAAAGTGTGTGGACCTCAGCATACCTTATTCATCATGACACTAGTGGCATGTTGGGTAAATCATTCAGCAAAATGAGATAGATCAGCTTGACCTGTGTTGTTTCACTTAGAAACGCATTGCTCTGTAATATTTTCATGTCCTACATACATTTGTCTCCTCCACTAGAGTGGAAACTTCATGAAGTTCAGAGGCTAAGACATAATAAGGGTTCTTAAGCACTCTCTACCCAGAAGAAATTAATTGAATGTTTTGATTGGTTAATGGGCAACATATATATTGGTTACAGTGGAGCCTAATGGTCATGAACAGGGGTTCAAGTCCGTAGTTCTGTATCTTAAGCCACGTTCTGTCATGACTAGCTGTGCCACTCGTGGGCAAGTTACTCCACCTCGGTGAGTCACATTGCCATCTGTAATAAGGGTGACAGTGACACAACTTAACAGTAAGTTTGTAGTGAGGATTAAATTAAGTTAATGCTTGTAAATAAAAACCAACGGGATGCTGGGTACCTAACATACACTCAGTCAATGTTCCACTGCTGCAATATACTGAGGTTTCAAGTTCAGGGACGTGCTGGAGGTACATGCCAGTCTCCATCGATTTGAAGAAAGAATGTTGAGTTGGTTCTCAAAAACAAAGTTAGATGCCGAGGGAAAATTTTTACAATTCACCCAAAATGTATTTTTAAAACAAACTTTTAATTTATCCCACATGCCATTTGGAATGTAGCAACAGAACAAAGAACAAAAGGCACGGATGCTGTGTGTCTTACCAGCGATACAAATGATTACAAACACAATCAGCCTGCAGACACAAGCTAACAGGGAAAACCGTGTGACATGTCAAGCTTTACAGAGGAGTGAAGAAGACCTGAGATTTGGCTGGTCACAAAGGAGACATTCAAAAGAAGGAATATGTGCAATACTTTTTTGAGTAATTCTCCTTGTTCCTAGAAAGAAACAAATATGTCACAAATGTATTATCTTATCAAAGCCCAGCCCCTTATTTTCCAGTGTGTGTGTGTTCTTAGCTCACGTTTCAACGTACATCTTCAGACCCTAATTGCTCCCCTGCATCCCCCAAAGAAATGCAACGGTAGAAGTACCTTAAAATGAGAAAGAGAAAAACAGAATGCTCATATCTGAAAAGGGAAACGACACATACTGAATGATCTCTATCATACTTAGGGTGATATTTATGAGAGAAAACCAGAGCCAAGTGAGTGAAACGTTTTCTACACAAGAGCAGCAGAAAAATGAACAATCACAGAGCAATTTGTCGCACAACAATTTGGAAGAGAACTTGATGCCAACATAAGAGAATAAACTACTCCACTGACACTTCTTCTTTTGTGTCTTTAGGATTTATAGGATCAAATTCATGCAACCTGAAAATTTTTGTGAAATAACACTTTGAACCCTGAATTTTCAGTTCTGGGGCGCAAGCAGAGGAATGCCAGCCAAGCTTCTCTCACACAACCTGAGGGACCAGCTCTTTAAAGTCACAGATGTTGACTCAGAGAACATCCTCCGTTTCTCCTCTGCTTCCTTCAGGGTCTGGGTTGAATTCCAACCGCCTGGGAGACTCCGCCATTGGAATCTCATCTCCTCGCCTGGCGTTACCTTCCTTGGTCTCCTCGTGGATCAAGTGTGGCAGGCAGTCCTGCTCCGAGTTACTCCAGACATAGCCGGGTAACGTCATGTGGCTGTCGGGCTGGTGGCCGGCTGTCTTGGTGGCTTTGCCAGAGATGAGCACCATGCGAGCGCTGGCAGCCACCTGCGACTGGCTGCTGGTGCTGTGGGTCAAGGTGGTGAGCACGGAGCCGTATCGGTGGCCGCCGCATGGGGGCGTCCTTTTCCAGTCGATGGAGAGATTCCACCGGCCCCACAACTTCTTCACCTCGGACTGAACCTGTCACAGGAAATATTGTGCGTCAGAAACCATCAGGGAGCCTGAAGCCTTGTTAGACGGATATTTGCCCTTCAGTGATAGTAATCGCCGAGTTTCCACGGTGTGCCAGGGAATGATGTACATATTCTCCCTCAACCTCAGAAAACCTCTACATATTATTACTGGCTCCGAGAGAGGTAAAGGGTCCTGTCCAAGATCAGTATTTTAATATAAGCTGACATGCAGCCCATAGAAACATCTGACTTGTGGGAGAGGGAACAGAGGATTCTGGGTGGAAGGGGGGGGGTAAATAGTGCCAGCTGTGCCCGAGGAATGGCATGGAAGGTACTCAACTTGAAATGTAATACTGTGACTTTGCACAGGCATACTGAGGGAGGAAAAAATGGGAAAGAAGCCCGTACCACGAAAAACAGGCACTGCAAATGACTTCTTAATAGGGTGGGGCTCTTGCTCCCAATCTTGTGGTTGAGGTTTCAGTTCTCCTGCTATTACCATTTACCAGAAGAGAGCTTAGTTGGAATTTCCATGGAAAGCAGTGGAAACCTGGTAAGCTGATAACAGCATGGCTAATGCTCTCCAGCCAACCCCTCAATGAACTAAAAGTGTCCCGTCACCATCGTGTGGTTTTTAAAATATCAAAATATTCTCATGGACTTGTCCCAAGAAAACTTATTTTTTAGCTTCTTATAGGACTCGAAATTGAATGTAAGTTTATGTATTAACTGGAATATGAAATTCACTGTCCTTCCAAGTATCAATTTACATTCCAACGAGTTGCATGGTGTTTGGGTTTTTGTTTTTGTTTCTGATATCAGGGTTTGCAACTGAATTAACATTGAAAAGTGCTAGAAGAGGAAGACTTTAGCTTATTTCCATTCATTCTTGCTTTCTCAAAATAGTTTATGATCGAAATATCCCCTTTCTCCCTGCTCATTTTTTCCTGTCACTCCTGGGGATCCTGAAGAGATTCAGGCCACACTGTGATGGCCATTTACAAGCTGACTCGGACCTACACCTGTGGGGTGTCCGGGGCTCCATCAAACCTACCTCCCCGTTGCAGTAGCAGTAGATGATAGACACAAAGAAACCCTGGGGAACAAAACAGAACGTTAGCATGCTGACAGTTCATGACGATCACAGCACTGACGTGTCTTGTGTCAAAATATATAAATTGAAAAACTGGGTGGTGGTATGATTCCTTCAGAAAATTATATGAACTACTCTCTCCTGATGTTTCCAAATCTTTAAGTTTATGTTATATTTGTCTGAGATCCTTCCTTGGTGTCAGCTGAACCAAACAAGTAACTGAATAAAACACTGTAAGATCCATAAAGAATTGATTCCCATTTTATTAGCTTCATGTATGTTGTCACTCAAGGATCACAGAATAGCACCTGGTGAGTACTAGGTATTTATACATTGTGAATGCTGGAAACTACAGACATAGGCTATCATATGGCAAAAAGACAAAGAAACTTCTGTGTCACTCATTCAAAAGTATTTATTGAGCCTCTACAGTGCAAACTGCTCAGCATGCCAGGGGTGAACAATTTAATCAAGACAGACAGGGTCCCTCTTCCCTTAGAGCTTACATTCTAGAAGGAAATACAGATGGATAAAACATAAACACCTAGCCACGCTGGAAAATTGTAAGATAATAAGGGCTATGCAGACAAAATGTGAAAGAGAGGAATGGAGAAGGTATATTGAATGGGTAACTCAATGAAGAGCGCTTTGAAGAGATAGCATTTAAGCTGGTTTGAGCGACAAGAAGAAGCCAGGCCTTGTGAATATTGGGGATGCTGTGGGGAGAGCCCTCCAGACAAAGGCAACGGCAAGTATGAGCCCCTGAGATGGGAATGAGTTTGAGGAACAGAGAGTGTGGAAGCAGGAGCGTGACTCAAACTCAGTGGGTGACAGGGAGCACAGTGTGACGCGAGGTCACAGTCGGGCAGGATCCCTGCCACATAGGGCTGTGCACACCAGCAAATGGCATTTGGATGTTATTCTGAGTGCAATGGGAAAACTCTGGGTACTTCAGGTAGATGAGTGACACGATCAAATTTATTTTTAAGATCCTCCAGACTATATATGGAGACTAGATTTAAGGCGACCGGAGGTGGCAGCGAGCGAGTGCCCCAGAGGAAGGAGGTGTCCGCAGTAAGCCATGTAAGTGATGACAGTAATCATATTTTCAAATGAGATAAAACGGGTAGCAGCTACTTCTCCTTCTTTGTCTCCCTTTCCCTTTTTTGCCTCCTCCCTGCCTTGTTTTTCTTTGACTTTCGTTTATTTTCCATACACACATGCAGAAGTCCCTGCTCTGTACGTGTTCCATATTTTACAGCAATATGCTTTCTTGTCTCACCGCCCAGACTTGGTGAGAAGCAGCTCCTGCTGTGGGCAGAGGTTAAAAGCATAGGCTCCAGAGAATAACGCCCTTCCGTGGCCCCCTGGGAGACAGGTGCATGAAAGTCTGAGAGAGGAGCAGAGAAAAAAGTTGCGGGGGCGGGGGGGGGGGGGGGGGGTACCACAATGCAAGAGCCGGAGCTGTCTACCTGAAAGGAATTGAAGAAGAGCTCACAGTGCATCCGGACCTCCCAGCCCAGCCCAGCGAAGGAGTGGGGCAGGCACAGGAACACGATGTAGTGCACTCCAAAGACCAGCACCAGGACCAGGGTCGATTTGGCGAGTTTCCTGAAAGAAGCCTTTTTATTAACCAACTTAGAGTGCCGGTCCGTGGAGATGGCTTGCAAAAAAAACCAAGCTTAGGAGAGGCTGACTTTTTCCCCGTCTCTTTAGATCCCGTGGCTTCTGCTAGATATTTTTCCCCCTCCCTCCTCTTCCTGTCACATTTATACTAAATAGAAAAAACGGAACGATTAATTCAAGCTCGAGAGGGACTGAGAAAGGCATAAGGGAAATAGTACTTTTTTTAAAAGCTAAATTTTTTATACTAAATCAAATTGTTTATTCTTACTTCCCATGATTATTATCCCTTAATTCTCTCTAATCTCATTTCCACTCTCCTGGATTAACAGATCCTGTTTTCATAAAGCTATGAAATGCCCTTTGTTGCTGCCCTAAATTTACTGTAACTTCTATGTTTGAGACTTAAACAAGTATTACTTCCATCCATGTTAATTATCTTTACTTTCCACAGACCACATTTTGATTTGTTTTGTTCATTTTAAAATTAACTACTCCCAGGGCACGTGGGTAGCTCAATCACTTAAGTGTCCAACTCTTAATTTCCGTTTAGGTCATGACCTCACAGCTCAGCTCAAGAGCTCACTCCCTGCCTCAGATTCTATCTCCCTCTCCACCCCTCTCCTGCTTGTGCTCAGTCTCTCTCTCTCTCTTAAATATAAATAAACACTAAATTTTTTTTAATTAAAATAAAATTAACTGCTCCCTAGTTTCTTCATCAGTTGGATCTCCATTAATCATTTCATATTTTCTTATAAGCTGCATATGGCCAATGTTTTTTGCTGTCTGTAAATATTCTACAAATTATCTACAGTTCTAGGTTGTGTGCCTTTATTTGGCAAGCTAAGCAATTTGACTTTATTTCCCTTAACTACTTTTTTCATATATATTTTCTTGTGTATCTGGAGGAACCCCAGGTTTCCAGTATGTTGGTTGACTCTAAAATGGCCCCCAGTGATTCCCCACCTAATATTTACATTCTTGTTAATCCCCTTCCTTTGAGTATAGACAGAAACCTAGGACTTGTTTCTAATTGACAGACTACAGGCAAAATGATGGGATGTCACTTCTGTGATTACATTTCATAAGATTGTAACTTTCATCTTAATAGCAAAGCCTCTCCCTTGTTTGGTCCAATGAAGCAAGCAACCATGTTGTGAGCTAGTCTACTGAGTGGCCCATGTGGCAAGGTGGGGTGGCATCAGCGAACAGCCAAGAAAAAACTGAATTCTGTCAATAATCTCATAAACTTGGAAGCAGATTCTTCCCCAGTCCAACCTTAAGATAAGCCTGTAGCCCTGATTGACATCTCAGTTGACCCTTATAAAAGATCCTGAGGGAGGAGGTCCATGTAAACCATGCTCAGATTTCTGACCTACCGAAACGTTAAAATAGCAAGTTTTTTTTTTTT